GCGGCGGGGCGGGGCGGGGCGCTGCGGCACGGGGCGGGGCGGTGGGCGGGGCGGGGCGGGGCTCCGCGGCTGTAAAAGCCGGCGCCGCTGCCGTCCGTGCCGCGGCGCCAGCGCATCCCGGTGCTCCCGCAGCCCTCCTCGCGCCTCGCGGGGCGCAGCAGGCTCGCCCGGTGGCCGCTCGCCGCCTCCTCCGCTCCTGCGCGGCTGTGGGCGCCTCGGCGCGCCCCGGGCACCGCAACCCTGCGGCGGGGCGCGTGGGACAATGCGGCTATGGTGCGCCGGGATCGCCTGCGCAGGTGGGTGCCGCGGCCGCCGGGGGGGGGGGGGGGGGGGGGGCCGCCCGGGCGCTGTCCCGTGGGCGTGGGGAGCGGGGTTGTGGCGACGTAGGGATCTCGGGGGTGCGCGGTGTCCTTCGGTCCGGGGCTGCGCCGCGGCTGACGGTGGCGGTTCGTGCCGCAAGGCGCGGTCGGCATTCGGGCCATTGTTGCGGGGTGATGGGGTCTCTGGACGCCGCGTGCGGCCGGGGCTCTGGAGCCGAGACCGCGGAGCTCCGCGGGCTCCACAGATAGACGCTGGACGTGGCTGCTGTATAGACGCGGCTGCTGTATAGACGCGGCTGCGCCTGGCCGCGCTGGGCTCGCGGCTGCCGCGTGGCCGCGGCAAGGAGCGTGGCTTGAAATGCGGACCGGGTCAGGGCCGCCCGGCTGGCCGGCGGCAGAGAGGAGGGTTGCTCTGGCTGGGTGCACGGCGCAGTTCTCGCGCAGACTCGGTCCGGGCCGGCTGGCGGTCGTGGCAAGGTGGCTCCGCGGCACTCAGCCCGGAGCGTGTCGCGGGCGTGTGCCGCGTCTCCTCGGAGCCGCGAGCGAGCGAGCGCGGTCTGGCTGCTAAGCGCGCTCCGTCCGCCTCCTGCAAACGCCGTTTTGCTGGGCCCCCGCAAGCCGGGAGACCGCGAGGCGCGTGGGTGTGGCCCTCCGCGTTCTGCTGAGTCACTGCGGGTGCCCGGTCCTCCGTGCCCGGAGGCTGCGTGGAAGCTCCGGGACCGGCCGGGCTCCTCAGGGAGGCTCCGCGGCAGACAGAGACGCCCGCCCTGGCGCGCTTCCAGTCGCTCGTCCTCAGCCGTGAAGGGCAGAGCCGCGCCATCGTGGCTGCCCACGCGGCGACTCGAGTAAGAGCTGAGGGTCCGCGAGGGGTGTCTTCACCCGCTGCGTCAGGGTAATGAGAGCCAACCCCCCCCCCCCCCCTCCACACAACCCCCCCCACAGAACTCCCTCACCGGACTCCCCTCCCCCCAAACCCCACAACCCCTCCCAAACACCCCCCACAACCCCCAATGCCCCCCCAACACATACACCTCCCCACACGCGCGCGCGCACACACACAGAGGCGCGCACACACACCGCGCACACAGACACACACCGCGCACACGCAGACACACGCACGTACACCCCCCACGCGCACTGACCTCCTGAACTCGCACGCAGTGTGCACAAAGGACGCGGCGCGGGCTCCCGCGGCTGCTGCTCCCGGTAGCTGCGGCGCTGGCGTCTCTAGCTGCCCCTCGGGAGACTCTCCCGCTGTTAGAGGAGCTTTTCGTGGTGACCTGGCGAGTCAGAGGTGGGGGCAGTTTCTAATCCCGCTTTAGCTCGTGCCTCCCGTGGGGCAGAGTGAGCCCCGATGGGGGCTGGGGGCGGGGAGATTAGACACGCGCGCGGGTCAGGGCAAAGCTGCTTTCCGGCCTGCGGAGCGTGCCGGCCTGGTGCCGCTCCCCGCGGCTTAGCCCAGATACAGGCCGCAGTGCCAGGTGGGCATCGCGGCCGGGCTCCCGTGTCGGGCTCAGGCCGCGCGTTGCGCACGTGCTCGGAGGTCACACTCGAGGGATGGGGGGCAGCGCGGCGAGAAGCGCGAGGTGCTGACCACGGCCGCGGGGCGCCGAGGTTTCGCACCGCCGGCTGCGCTTTGGGTGTTGGAGGTGTACGATGTTCCCTTTCTCCGCAGGATGAGGGAGTGGTGGGTCCAGGTGGGGTTACTGGCCGTGCCCCTGCTGGCCGCCTACCTGCACATCCCGCCGCCGCAGCTCTCCCCGGCCCTGCACTCGTGGAAGACCTCTGGCAAGTTCTTCACCTACAAGGGACTGCGCATCTTCTACCAAGGTGAGAGCGGGGCTGTGGAGGATCCCCAGGGCCTGGCCACTAGGCTCCAGCATGTGCCCCTCGGTCTGCTGCGCCGTAACGAGGGAGGGAGAGGCCCTTTGTGTAAGGTGTGGGCGATCACGCGCCGGTCCTCGATCATTCCAAGAGCCGGGAACTGGCTCTGCAGTGGGGGGGGGGGGGGCTCGGGTTTCAGCAGACTGAGGGTCTTCCAGCCCCCATGGTAGCAGAGGCATTAGTTTTCTCTTTGAGCGCCCCTAGTGTCAGGCAGGATGCACAATACTCAGAGACCTGTCCACACCTTTGTTCCTCACCCAGCCCATTTCCAAAGTCATTTTATTATTTTCTGTGATTTGTTACATGTATCTAAACCTGTAAGGTTGCTTTACTGAGAATTATTATGACTGCTACTTAGTTACTATACCCAAGACATTCAGTTATGTTTTAACCTTCATTATCTTCATTTTTCATTTAATCTTTCCAACAGCCTTTGGAGATAGGTGCCATTAATCTCATTTTATAGCTGAAGAAACTGATAAACAGATTGGAAAAGATTTCTTTTGGGCGGGGGTCAAGAGCAATAACGAAAAATGTTTGTTTTTCATAAACCGTTTTTCATTATTGCTCCTGACCTCCTCTCATTTCTTATATCCAGTCAAGTAAGTATGGATTAAAAAAAAAAAAAAGTTATCTTACTGGTTCTTTCCCAGACTTAAAATTTAGCGTTACATATTATTTACATAGATTCTTCTGGCTATATACAGTACATGATGCTTTTAATTACTTTTTGAAAAGTTATTACCAAAGCTTTATGCCACTGGCAGTCCTATTTAAATCCAGTACTTTTGGCAAGGTATTTTATTGTTTGAATATTTAAAAAAATGTCACATACAGAAAAAAGTTCCTGTTGTTATCAGTCCATTTTTGTAACTGATAGAATTTTGTAATAGTTTGATTTATGGAGTTGCATGTCCTCTGCTGGTATTGGACAAATGGTATCAACTCAGGTGACCTATCCATTGGGAAGAACTGTCAGATCTCAGATGTGATAATGTATTGATAAGGCACAAAGAAGTAGTTTGTTGTGATTATGTTTTAACTGGTTTTATTTTTTATTTGAAAAATAATTTGCACTTTAGTAATAATATCAACTGAAATTGACTCTAAATGAGCAAACTGTTTCAAGTGTTTTCATGGAAAGTGTGCCACTGCGCTTTAAAAGCACAGAGTAGGAGGAAGCTCTTGAATATTGTCAGGAGTCTAAAGGGCAACACAGCATTGCAGGGTCATCCTTTACAGTGAATTAGATGTTGGTGTCCTCAGGGCTGCCTTGCCAGTAGTTTGCCTGATTTCTCCTTCTCCTCCTTTTAGACTCTGTGGGTGTGGTTGGCAGCCCCGAGATAGTTGTGCTTCTACATGGCTTTCCAACATCCAGCTACGACTGGTACAAGGTAATGAAGTTCCCAGGTGCTGCTCTGTCCGAAGCTATACACAAACTCAAGAATTCCTGTCAGCCCTCAAAGGCTCTTGCAGATTTGAATTGCTTGATAAAATCTCATTAAATATAGAATTGCTTTTCATGTACGGGAAGGGAGCAAGACACTGATTGTCCAGAAAGGAGCGTTGCCAAGTGAAAGGCTGGAGTTCACTCTAGGTCGATTAAATGCTAGGAAATCACACACTGTCCAAGAGGATCGCCCAGGCCTCACTTTACCCAAGCTGGCATGTAGGCATGAGTCCAGTGCGCTGCTGTGGGCTGGGCAGTGGGTGTGAGAGCAGGGTGAACACCACACTTGCTTTCTTACAGATCTGGGAAGGGCTGACCCTGAGGTTCCATCGAGTGATCGCCCTGGATTTCTTAGGCTTTGGCTTTAGTGACAAGCCGGTAAGCAGCCGCTGGGGTGGGCCAGTGATGGCTGTGGGTCTGAAGGCAGGCTCAGGCTACCTCTGCTGACCCTGCTGTGTCTCCGCTCCTCTCCTCAGAGACCACACCAGTATTCCATATTTGAGCAGGCAAGCATCGTCGAGTCGCTCCTGCGGCACCTGGGGCTCCAGAACCGCAGAATCAACCTGCTGTCTCACGACTATGGGGACATTGTTGCCCAGGAGCTACTGTACAGGTGAGGCCAGGCTTCCGCTTCTGCACAGGTAGAGTCGCCAGGACGAAGAGAAAGTGAACTGTTCTGGGGTCTTAAGCCGTAGGTTATCTGCAGTCCCCGCCTGGGTGTCAGTTGCTCAGCTACGTGTTTCTTCTTACCCTGCTCCAGATACAAGCAGAATCGATCTGGCCGGCTGACCATAAAGAGTCTCTGCCTGTCAAACGGAGGTAATTGCCTGGGGCGGGGGGGCAGGTGGAAAGTGGGGTGTAGCATAGGAAAGCCACCTTTTTACGACCCCAAGCATCTGAATAGTAACCGATGTTACAGACACATCACACACAGGGCGTCGTTCACCCTGCTGTGCCATGAATAGTCTTCATGGTGACGGCATTTATGGAATACATGTTTTCAGACATTTAGAAAATAAAGGATGCCGGGGGGGGGGGCAGGATGGCTCAGTGGGTGAGGGTGCCAAGTCTGTGGATACAAATTTAATTTCAGAACCCACACTGGAAGGAGAAAACGGACTCCTGCAAGTTGTCCTCTGACCTCTGCGTGGGTGTCTCGGCACCCATGTACACACAGGCAAAATAAATACCTGTTTTTAAAGAGCTGGGTAGCGCGGCGCCCACCTTTAATCCCAGCACTTGGGAGGCAGAGGCTGGTGGACTTCTGAGTTCAAGGCCAGCCTGGTCTACATAAAGAGTTTAGGATAGTTAGGGCCACACAAAGAAACCCTATCCGGGGAAACAAAAACAAAAAAATTACCCCTCCATTTTTGTACCTTTAAAATGAGGAAAGTAATCCCAGCATGTGGTGATTTGTTAACCAGTATCTGGTAGTAGCTGGCCTAGTCCCCCCTGCTTGCCACACTCGCCTGTAGGTCTGTGTACACAGTGCACAGCTGTTCTTACTCATGGTTCTAGTTGGCAGTTAAGGCCCCTAATGTAGCACTGGATAGGGAGGGGAGACGTCTCAGGCCACGGTTGTGTGCTGGTAGAGGACTAACAAGTCTGTTTTTCCACAGGCATCTTTCCTGAGACCCACCGCCCTCTCCTTCTCCAAAAGGTTGGCAGCTTCACTGCACAGCACCTCAGTTCAGACATCTATGGCATGAAAAACAAAAACGCAAACACTGGGACTTCTTAAGGGCCTGCGGTCATGAGCCAGTCTATTGAACTCTTCTTTATTACGAATCCATATAATCAAATTAATTTTCTCTCCCCAGTGAAACAAAGGAGGCTATCCTACATAAAACCAAGCATCTCTGAGAAATAAGAGATGAACAAATACTTAGAGAAACACATGTATGTTTTTGTGTAACATAACTGTGTAAGAATGAGCTGTGTAAGAATGATGTTTAAGTTGAGATTCTAGGATCAAGTTGATGAAATCGGGATTATACATTTTTTTTTTTCTTTCAGAAGAAATGGCTAAGTTCTGTTTTAGTTTCGGGTGTAAAACACTGTGTTGAGGTGCTGTCAACCCCCTCTGCATCTTGAATTTTACTCTTACTTCTTCTCTGCAGCTCCTCAAAGATGGAGGTGTGCTGTCGCCTATCCTCACGAGGCTCATGAACTTCTTCGTGTTCTCTCGAGGGTAGGTCGCCATCCAAGACTGAACAGTTGCTCGGATGTCCCTGGAGGTTTTCGGGGACATGGCCTAACCTTCCCGTCTTGCACTTTCTCAGTCTCACCCCCGTCTTTGGACCATACACCCGGCCCTCGGAGAGTGAGCTGTGGGACATGTGGGCCGGGATCCGCAACAATGACGGAAACCTGGTTATCGACAGGTAAGACAGGAGCCTCACTCTGGCCCAGGACCCTCTCCCGGAGGGAGGGGCAGGCCCAGGCTGTTCTGCTGCTGGCTGGCTTACTCCCTGTAAGGCTGGTGAGACAACCTAAAACAGCCCTGCTCTGTGTTTTCCAAGAAAGAAATCAAGCATAGGGTTAGCCTCGCTCCTAAAGCATTTGGCACAGAGAATGGGGAGAAATGGCATCAAACCTTAATGCTTATTTGCATGAAAATGACTCACTGACTTTGGCATATCCTTCTCTAAACTTCTGGATAATTTGACGTGCTTAAGAATATCTTCATCATAGTTTTGAAAGGAACTAATGTTTCTCCCAAGTGCAAAGGTCTTCCTTTTGCCTGTTTTTCAAGTAGCAACAGAGTTGGAGCCGCAAGGCTTTGGTGGGGGATGGTAACAGATGCATTGCTCCCTGAGGTGAGGCCTGGTCCTTTGCCAGCGGGTCTGTGACTCCCAGTGCTCTAGCTGCTGGCTTTGCTGTGGCCTCCCTCTGCATCCTAACCCATAAGATCCTCGATATTTTAATATGAGTAAAACTGAAAACGAGGACCCCTCTTTAAAAGACACCTCCTGTTTTGCCCCCAGGACTGCCCGGAGTCAGGAGCAGAGTCAGTGCCCCTGGGCTGCAGTGTGGCTGCTGGCAGTTCCCATGCAGTGGGAAGCGTTCTCTCCCCTCTGCTTGGATGGAGAGCAGTGATGAGGCCCTCATCCCAAAAACGAATACACTGGCATTTTTAAAGGTGGCTGTCGTCCACTCAGATGACGTAGTTTGGTTTTAGTTTCAAATGAGGAACTTAGGTTTAAAAAATGTTTTCTCAAGAGTCACAGAGCTGGTTAGTACTGGGTTCAAAACTGGATTCTTAGACTCAGGTTTTAAATTATGCACGTGCCAAACCAACTGTGATCCTTCTGCAGATCTCAGTCCTGCACAATGAATGCAAAGAGCCCTTAGTGCTCACGCAGACAGTCACTGTTGTGTCTGCGTGAGCACAGAAGGATGGAGTAGGCTCTGCGGGGGCCCAGGCTGCTTTCTGCGGCCCTGGCAATGCACTGATAATAAATACTTGCTGTTGTGCTCTTGCTGACTCACCTGTGCTGCAGTCTTTTACAGTACATCAATCAAAGGAAGAAGTTTAGAAGACGCTGGGTGGGAGCGCTTGCTTCTGTGACCATCCCCAGTGAGTATCTGCGGACAGTTTTCTGTTATTGGGAACAGTGACTTAACATTGTTACAACTCATAAAGTCTCCGTGCAGGTTTGCCGGGTAGAGCAAATAATCATACATAGAGTAAAAGCTGCTCTTAGCACAAGTATCTGCAACATAATATTTAGGACATACTTTTTGCCTTCATTTCCACACGTAAACACAGACTTTTTACCTAGAACGTTTGACTGGCCATTCTTTGTTCATGGGCACCCTATTCTCAACACCTGGCTCACCACAGTGAACAGTGTAAGGCAGAGGCACTGCTCCACAGGCATTTGGTCTAGTGGCACACTAGATCAAACTGTTGGGACAAGGAAGCTAGTAAGGTCATTAATGGAGGCTGTAGATAGTTGTGCTCTGTCTTCTCTTCTTTGGCATTTAAAAGAAAAAGTGTGGTCCCTCCCACACAACAGTTAGTGATCAGCAAACTGTTGGCTGACTTCAAATGTCAGAGGTCAGTTATACTAGAAACTTCTGATTCTGTCTCTATTTCTAGAAAGCAGATCTTGAAAGTGAGCTTATTTCTTTGGTTCAGGGTACAGAAGAACAAGAAGGGACCAGACAGTTCTCTGTAGAAGACTGGCTTGTTCCATACGTTCTTTAGGCTCACCCAACAAGAAGTGAGGTTTTCTATCATGACATAACATTTTTAGTTACTTGTGTTTTTAATAAATGGAGGGAGGTTAGTTTTAGGATAGCAATAGGAACACAGATGTGAGCTGTTAGAAATTCCTTCCTCTTCTCTTTCCTAGTTCATTTTATCTATGGGCCACTGGATCCTATAAACCCCTATCCAGAGTTTTTGGAGCTGTACAGGTGAGTCCTCACAGGTCTTTGTTTTCTTAGTATTTCATCTTGAAAGGGGTTGTTGGCACTAGCTATGGCCTCTGACCTCACTGGAAACGAAACAGGCCACTTAGAGGTAGAGAATCCTTTAACTGAGTGGAAAGATCAAGATAGGTCATTATACTTTTCTCTGGTCATATATTCTGTTCTCATTGTCATGGCTGTTACCATATTCCTAAGCATAGAGGGAAGGGGAAAAACACCCTTCCTGGGAACCAGACACCTTAAGAAATGTGTTAGTTTAGTCTGAGCCATTTCACTGACAGCTGAGCAGACTTCAGTGAGCAGTTACGGACAGCTCGGGGACTCCTTCAGGGTACTTACTTTGAAGGTACTAGAATATGAAATCTTGGCTGTCATATAAGAACGTTCCATACCTTCACATACCCTAGTGGAGAAAATATGGGAAAAATAGCTTGCTTCTAATTTTACACAGTATCAAGGAAGGCTCTTTGCTGACCTTTGCTTGGGCAGTGAGCTGCTGGCTGAGCCACCTGTTGATGCTCTAAGGAGCTGAGAGTCATGTTTTGAGGGCTGTTACAGAAGTGTTGTATTTGCAAGATGTTGTCTGTTGGGTTCTGAACAGCTGAAACCCGTGTAAGTGGAACTGGCAAGTGTGTCTGCCTGCGGCAGGAGACAGTAAGCTCTCTGTTGGCTCCATCCAGCGTGTCATGTCTGTAGGGGCATTTGCGGGGCTTCCCACGCTTGCACCCTCTCATCCTCCCGCCTAAGTTCACCTCCATGCTGTTCTCTTCCACTAGGAAAACGCTGCCGCGGTCCACAGTGTCGATTCTGGATGACCACATTAGCCACTACCCACAGCTAGAGGATCCCATGGGCTTCTTGAATGCATATATGGGCTTCATCAACTCCTTCTGAGCTGGAAAGAGTAGCTTCCCTGTATTACCTCCCCCATTCTCGTATCTGTGTGTATTCCACTTAGAAATGCCCAAAAGAGGTCCTGGCAATCAAATACTATTCTTTCATAAAAGTCCATTTTATTCACATTGATGACAAGAGAAAACAGGCGGCAGAAACTCTGAGGGTGACATGCTGGTCCAGCTCTCATTCTCTAAGGGTGACAAGATATCCTCTCGTTCCTGTGATCAGGTGGATAGATCTGCTGTTGTCCTGTGTTATTAGGACATTTTGACTAATAACACTTTTCATTTATGCAGAAAGACAGCATTAGGCATTCTCTTTTGTGTAAAATACTCAAAAAAAAAAGAAAAACAAACCCACAAAAGTCCAGCTTCTGTGGACTTAAACTGGGAACCCTGGAATAGAGGGGGAGGGGGAGCTCGCCGCCCCCTGCGCAATCTGTGAACAGGGTGAGAGGGGCATCTTGTCACACCTTTACATCCACTTTCATCAGCTGCTTCCAGCATTCTTTGTTCAGACAGACATCGGCTTTGGGGTCTGGGGATGTAGCCAGGTAGTGTGCCTGCCCAGCATGCTAAAGCCCTTGGGTTCATTCCCCAGCACTGACCCCCCCGTCCCCATCCCACCCACCCCCACCCCAAAAATATAGCCTATCAAACCAAGACAGACATTGGCATAAACAGTGTTCTGAGTATGCTGCTAAGACTGATTTGCATACTCATGTACATATCTTACAAGCGTATTAAAACAGCTGGCCCTTACCTGCTAGAGTAGAGAATCTCATTACACACTGAATTTGTGAGTAAACAGATTCAAATTACCTACAAAACTTCCTAAAACCACAAGGTATTAAGAAGCAATTGCATCTGCCAGAGATGTACTGTTTCTGTCTAGAAAGTCCAAGCCGAACCGTAAATAACAGCCTGCCTCCTCGCATCTCAGTGCGAAGGCCCCTCCACAGCAGAGGTGGAGGGGAGGGGACCACTGCCACAGCCGAATGCCCACTGATGCCCTGATGGCTGCTTAGCATCCCATTGGCTGTTCAGGAAGGCTTTCTCATTAACTTGGCAAATCCTGTACTTAAGAGACAGGCAAGTTCCCAGACGCTTTTAAGAACAAATTGAAAGACCTAAGAGCAAATGGTGCTGAATACTTTTTTAAGCCACAGTTTTAACTGTCTTAGTTAAAGCAGTGTAATTATTTTAAATTCATTTTTTAAATTAGAAATTTCAAGTATAGCAACTTTGAAACTGGAATGAATGAGTGTTTATTTTCTATTAATAAAAACAAACTGTGACAAAAATGGATTCTGGCTTCCCCTCCCCCCTCCACCCTTCTTCGATAAAATTTTCCAACATTGCCAAGAGTTTTCACACATTAACTAGAAGCAGATAATGAAGCTAAGCAGCTGTAGAATAGTGTAAGTAGTACCTGACTTTCAAGATCACTGGAAGCTGACACGTGAGACAGTGAAGTCCAGGCACAAAGACAAACATTCGCTTGATCTGCTGGCGCAGGGCTGAGCATTGGGTTTGCTTCTTCAAAGCCACTATTAATCTTTAAGTATGATTTTGGGGAGTTCATGCCACTAGCCTGAAAAGTACCGGTAGGGAGGGCACGGCACATCATCTTTCCCAGCAAGAACTTATCCCACAGAAGCCAAGATAACATCCACAGGTGTCCTCTCTCTGCTTCTCACAGTCACCTGCATGGTCACTCCATCTGCTAAGGCCAGCCTGGACCGCACCAATAAGTCACAGCCACCTCTGTATACGCCTGAGAGGGAAATTAGGAAAAGGAGATCAAGAACTTTAGATAAGCTCTTATTCATGGGACTTACCATGTTTTGCCTGAACCTCCTTTCTATTGTTTTAGTTTAGCTTTTATAGGAATTAACCGGAAATTAATCCTACAAACAACCCTAGTTTTTAAGTGTTAAAACCAGGTACACGGAAGGTGCTCAGTAGCTCTGATTTGGTGCTGTCAGGTAGTGGGGGTGGCACTGGCGCCTGTTAGAGAAACTTCAGGAGACGCGGGAAGATCAGTGACTCCTTTGATGGGGTTTCAGATTGTTACATAGCGAGATGGCCGACAACCGCAGGGCAGAGTGCTTATCTGCATCCCTCTGTTTAAACCCTGCTATGGATTGTAGGATTGTAGGGAGAGCTGGTGAAGTCTTACCTGCCAGGTAGAGGGAGTGGGAATTCTTGTTCTCGGGAACTTTATCTGATCGCTCACATGGCTGCATGCCCAGAAAGGTGACGATGTTGTTGACGGCCTCTGTTGAGGAGGAAGTTGACGTAACAAGGATCAGGAAAGTTACGCACGAGTGTGTGCTGGGAGCTGCAGGTCCCCAGGGCTGTAGACTGGACGAGGCTCCTAGCCTAGGAAATGACTGACGTGGTCAGATGGTGAAGACAGGTGCCTAGTTTTGAGTGGATGACTTAAACATAACTCTGTGAAAGGAGTTCTTCTGGAACTGCATGTGTGCCTCCTAGGTTAGACTGGTGCCAGGCAGCTCACTGGCAGCAAAACTCTTCTTACCTTCAAGGGTTTTTGTAGAGCTCAGGGCAAAGGTCTCTTCTTTCTCAAAGGCATCTCCCACTTCTTCCCAGGCAGCAGCAAAGTTAGGTTTTAGTACCTTCTGAATATGGTCAGACACAGTCACTTCAAGGTCTTCCAGCTAGTGGGCAATAAGCAAGGGTCAGTAAATAATAGTACTCTGAGTCGTCAACAAGAACAGAAGACCATGCAAAGGGCCTGAGGGGAGCTGCTTCCCTGCCTCTGCAGGTTCTAGTACAGAGGAGCACAAGCCAAGTGTAGGCTAAGTGCCAGTGGCCCTGAGGTCCACAGTAGTCCACACGTAGACCTCTGACTTGAGGCCATACAGCACCTTCTAAATGTGACCTTCTGGCAAAGCTTTTCAGTACAGGACTTGAGAACACTAGAACCAACCAAAACCTACTTTATAAGTAAACTCAATCACATTAAAAATGATTCAATTATCTCCTAATTATTCCCGTTAAGGCAGGGAGGGCGGTGAATTTCTTTGCTTTAGTTATAAAGTAATCCATTTAAATCTGGCATCCACAGTGCCTTTGTAAGTGAAGGTTAGTCTTGGGTCCACAAGTTTTGCCATTGTCAGCTCTCTCTTGTGACAGAGGTCACTGAATGTTGCAGAGGTACCAGGGCCTGTACAGGGAAGACTCACCACATACTCATCATCATATCCATCTTCATCTGGAACTCCAGTGTTAGGGTCACAATCTCGGACTGTGAACTTCATGGTACAGCTGAAGGTGCCTGCAACTGGAGGGAATAGCAGGCAAATTTTCATGAGTGGCAGAGCAAACACGTCACCATCAAGGAGGAAACACCACCTATGTTCCACAGTTTCAGGTTTTAACATGGGCTAGCATGTCCTGCTCTCTAAGGTAGTGCCTGTTGAAGCATTTGCAAGCTGGTCAAAAAGTCAGTTTCACAAAGCATGACGTGAAGACACTTCTGTACCGTGGACTGAAATAGTACACGGAAGAGATGGCCTGAGCAGGTTCTTGTGTTGATGTGAAGAGAGCAGGGGGAGATATTTTGGGGGGACTTTTTGTCATGCTGGTCAAAGGGCCAGTATTTTGAAAAACAGAAGAACCATTCACTGCTCTAGTATACAACAGCTACTGACAACAGATTTGCATAGATTGCCAGATTAACACTGACCAGGCACCTGGTATCAATGCTGACTTTAGGTTGTGGACTGAGTTGATTCACAGAACACCAGAAGTCAACTTTTAACCTGCAGTGAGTAGGTGAAAGTGAGGTTTTGCTGTCAAAATGGAAAAACAAATAGGCACTATGTTTCAGATGACTGACTAGAAATCGGAGCTTTAGAAAGCTATTAGAGGTATAAGCAGGAGGAGGAAGGAAACTCAAAACATGGTGGTGTTGGCAACAAGAGGTACTTGTTCAGTCTTTTAATCATTCCATCCATCCATCCATCCATCCATCCATCCATCCATCCCTCCCTTCCTCCCTCATATAATTGGTATATATGATTAATCTATTGATAACACTACAGTTCAATGTCACAGTTCTTTAGTATAAATTTTAATAGAGTGCTGTGTGAAGTTGCAGGATTAGGAGCATGGGGTTAATTAAAGAAAGACAATGAATGGCAAATGATGAAATCACAGACTGGGGCAGACAGTGGCTTTTATGTAGAAAATAAGAGACAGCATTTACAAATACTAAAGATGTGACATAGACGGACTGAGGGGGAGAGTAAGTGGAACCTTTGTGTGGCACATTTTTCATTAAATGATTCGGTTGATACAGTGAAGACTTGAAGGGAAGCTGCCAAGGGCCACAATAAAAGCCAGTGGTGGTAGCATCAGTATGGCTAGAGGAAAAAGCACGCATTGAGAGACAGAGATGGCAGGGGCCCCAAGAACATCACTTTACTATCAAAGATTACAGCTTCATGAAACAGGAGAGGCAAAATCCAAAAAGACAAGCCAAAAAAAAAAAAAAAACAACAAAAAACAAACAAACAAACAAACAAAAAAAACCCCTGCACACCTGTTAAAAGAGGCTTTTGTACAGAATTGCTAAAAATGAGAGCCAGCTGCTGAGGAGGTTAGTGTAAAAAGATTTCAGAACTGGGGGGAATAAAAAGATGAATGCTAGAAGCTAATTAGGGAGAGGGATGTGCAGTTGGGCTTGTCAGAATGGAAAACTGCAGAAGTTAAACCACTGTAGGAAGGCTATGGCAAAAATGAAGAGATTCCTAGATAACTGAAGTAGAGCGTGTGCTGAGAGAGCGAAAATTGGAGAGGGTTAAAGGAAACAGGCCACCTGCAGTGATCCACAGGGGTCAAGAGTGAGCCGAGGCAGAGGCAGTACAGTACACAGGAAATGGAGGAGGAAAGGGGGTTAGGTGATGATGTTCCCCTCGCAGACAGTCTGGGGGTCTGCGAACGCTGCCCACAGAACGGGTGCTGAGATTAAGGCTGTTCTGCATGTTGGAGGAGGGGCAGCTGTACACCAACATTAGCCTCCGGTGTAAGGGCCAGCACTGACCAGCGACAGACATGAAATGAAAGCTACAACTGCATTCTTGG